TCACCGCTCGTAGGAACACCTTCAGCCTCCTTCATGGCAGTAATGGGCTTATGAAAGATTCGATTTTGGACATTTTGCCCATGGTTGTTAGTTAGAAGCATATGTTCTTGTTTGTCCAGGCAGGAAGTTAAGCTGAGAGGAGGGGCGCTGAAAGGGGACCGGGAGTGTTTCATCATTTTGCCTTTTATAGCTTTTTAAAAGCTGAGCGTGATTGGAGGGAACTGCCTCATAATGAAATCAAAATTTAAAAAAGGCAAATGCTCTGCCTTGCTTGTGTTTTGACACAGAATGGAAACATTTGACATAATTAGAATTTGCTTCAGTTCAATTGAATCTTTATTTTTGTTACATTTTAGGCGTAATATCTTTCTAATCTCTGAGAGGTATTGATGATTATAATTCGTTGGAAAAAGGATAGATACCTAAGTGATCTGATAAAAAGGTAGAAATAGCTTCTTTTTCAGCATTTATTAAGACCTCATTGTGTGCTTTAGATATTATTAATGCATAAATAATGAAGATTATTCTAGCATCAGAAGTAAACAGGAGTAAAAAATTCTTCCCAATTAGGAAAAATAGGTAAATACTACTTTTTAAACTAAAATATAGTGAAAAGTAATATTGTCCTTTCCCCCCATGATTATTTTGTTTACACACTGTTCCTTCATTTATTTGTTTCAGTATTTTAAAATAGTTATGTATAGTTTACGCTGAACACAACTGGAGATATTTTAACTTTCTGGTATGCATGCATAACCTTTCTCTTGTTGAATGGTAAATGGCATTCTTATCAAAATGAAACATTTAAAAAATCGGCTCAAACACCTTGAAACGTCTCTTCTATTCCAGGGTTGGGAGAATATTTGTGTCCTTTATTTTCTTTCTGCAGCCAGCAAAGGCTCTGATGAGGCTGCGTGTAATCTGTGATTAATCTGGGGGACTAGCTGATGTCAGGCAGCTCTAGAATTACGCTGTAAACCAGGGTCTGCTGTAAGTCTCTGTTTTTGGAGGTGAAGCCCTTTCCCTGAATGAGAGGACATTCGGGGTCCTGGAGTGGGGGCTTGTCAGATGGTTTGCTCTTGGTAAACTTTTATCTGAAGAGACAGGGAACACTCACTTCTTATCTTTGTTCATGTTTACCTCCAATACTGTCTTAATTCAGGCATAAAGATGCAGTTGAGTTACTGTAGGTGGCCAACCATTCCAGATAAGAAGTGGTCCACGTGGCTGGAAATTGTACTGACAACCGCTAGTCCAGGCGTGTTTCCTTTAAGACATGCTCTGCTTGACTTTACTGCTCCCAGACCGTTGGGACCTGGGACACCACTCCTGTAGGTCATTTGAGAGTCGCTGTGGGTATGAAGTTTAAGTCCACTGCAGATTCTCTGCACTAAGACCTAAGACCCATGACAGGACATCTCAGAGCAGCAGGTGACAGCCGTTTCTCAGTGTCATGATGAAGTTGCCAAAGGTCAGGTGATGGCACTCATGTCATCCATTTAGACCCGATGGTTATACACACTTACAGAAAACCCGCTTCTGGGGGCATTGACTCTGTGAAGGTGTCCGGAGCAGAAGTGCTTGTCAGTTCCTGGCAGGTGGTGAGAGCCTCACTCTGTCCCGGGTCTGTCTGTCCGGCAGGGTACTACACGTGCGTGGAGGTCATCTTCACCCTGCGGAGGCAGGTGGGCTTCTACATGATGGGCGTCTATGCCCCGACCCTGCTGATCGTGGTCCTGTCCTGGCTGTCCTTCTGGATCAACCCCGATGCCAGCGCCGCCAGGGTGCCCCTGGGTAAGGTGGTCCAGCCGCTCTCTCTGAAGTGACCGCGCAGCTTTGGCACAGACTCAGTCATTTCCAGACAGTGAGTTTGGAATTGATGGCAACCCTTTTCTTTCTTTCTTTCTTCCTTCCTTCCTTCCTTCCTCCCTCCCTCTCTCTCTCTGTTCTTCTTTCTTCTTCTTCTTCTTCTTCTTCTTCTCTCTTCTCTTCTCTTCTCTCTTTATATTATTTTTATATATTTATATTCTCTCTCTCTCTCTCTCTCTCTCTCTCTCTCTCTCTC